TTTTTTATCTTTATGTTTGGAGGACATTTATATTAGAAAAACTCTTGTCCGATTATGCGATGGAGCCACTGTAAATAGAATTCGTAATATTAAAAAAAAAGGAATGAATAATTGTATAAAATGATAATAATCTCTGAAAGAAAATATGAATATTAGTTCTTTGGTGCAGGGATAAAAAAAAAACCAAATTTCGATATAAGTGGGGTATAAGCAGATAGGGGAGCCTCGCCAGAGGAGAAATACGCAAATATAGTGTAAAAATAACTTGTGTACATATACATATCTGGTAAAATATTGCCGATTAAAAATTCAAAAATTCGGATTGAAAACACATGTTATTTCTCTATGTTCCACTAATTGTTTTTACAGTTTTCACTTGGTATATTTAAATATACACTCCAAACATTGAAATAAGTTCAAATTTCACTTGTTTTGTTTGTTTACCTAAAGTTATTAATTTCAAAATCCCTTAACGCAATTATTTTTGAAAAGGTTAGATTGCTTACAATTATGAGGAAAACGAGCATCGCCACATCTTAAACACCACATAATTATATAGCACTTTTAACCATTTTTCCTTCTTTTCTTCGTTCCTTGATATATTAACTATAATAAAAAATACTTTTCAACATTTTTCAAGTTATAATTGAGCTGTGAACCATGTATTGTTTATATTCATATGTATTATATGTGATTTATATTTAATAAACACAAGTAAGTAAAAATCTATGATTATATTATAAAATTAATATCATATCGGGGTGACTAAGTACTTTCGCGTTGTACTCCTTTCTGCGTTAGCGGCCTTCGGCTGCACTACTTAAACATATCGTTACCTAAAATGGAAAATAGTTTACAAGAGAAAGAGAAATGAAATAATAGAAACCACTCCTATTAAAAGAATTGAGTTTTGGTTATAAAGTGGTTATAATTTGAGTTATCATACACTAATATTGAAAGAAAATGTAAGCTTTCGTTATAAAATAGTTAAATGTTGCTTCTTATTTTTGAAAGCGATTTCCTTTTTTCCAACGGTACCTTAAATCGAGGCGCGAATGAAATGGGAATTGTGCCAAGATTATTATCTGTTCATTTAAAATATAAAACAAACATTTGTTTTCAAATATGATATTTAATTGTGCAGGCCGCCTTAAATGCATAAAACACATATGTATTTATTTCCATTTATATCCAATGCTTTAAAAGCAAAGAAATAATTAGTTGCACATTATTTTAAAAATATCACATAAAATTTATCCACGACTTTCAATCGTTGTGTTTTTTTTTTTGGTTACCGTTTTTAGGAATTTCTTTTGGCACTATTGACAATTATGTTTTCTCATTCGCACTCATATGAATAAAGTAATGAGATAATTTTTTTTTTCATCAAGGCGGACAAATGGAAGTTTATAGAAGAGGCTTTCGTAAGATGATATTCTATTGGTTTATAACCCAAATATGTGTTGACACATGCGTTGTGGATATATACATCAATATGAAACATATTTAAATATATTGTATATTGATGTAAGTATACTGAAGTAAATAATTAAGGATTTTTTGGAATTCCAGGTAATTTTTAGCAGGAATGGATCCGTTTACTGATGCGTTTTCACTTGATTGTTACAACGCAAAGTTGTATATTGCTTTATCAATCAGGTTTCTTCATAGAACATATTAGTAAATAAAAAAATGGCACCCACAAAATAAGTATTGGGGAAAACCCTGATACCTGATGAATTTGACACTGGCGTCCATGAGTGTAGAAATGAATTGCACTCGCAGTGGCATCAACGCTCTGGGATGGTGGACCTTAAATTTAAAACTAACAGAAACACGAACTTGCAATATTGGCAAAAATTCTGGTATGGTATTCCTCGAAACATGTACAATTATTGTCAGTAATTGGCATCAATGACCCAATTATAAGGTATACTTAGACTTATATAATATTTTGAATTTAGTTTTAAAATTATGACCATCTGATGCGAAATCGCAAATTTTAATTGCCCGAAACCACGTCATTTGGAAGAAAAAATTAAATTTGCGTATCTTACGAAGAAATAATTTTGGATCACCTGAATCAACAGCAAGAAGGGATAATGAAAGTTCGAGCGGAGTAGGTAGAGATGACAACATATTTTTTCCTGATGCGCAGCACATACCAGACAGTTGAAAAATAAAAATGTTTACACAATCATTAAAAAATGACGGGAGCTTTGAATAAATTTTTTATATCTTTATATAAAAATCGCGTTCATTTGTCTATTATGTG